CTTGGCAAATTTAAATGAATTTGCCTAAACACTACTTCCTATACATGATTACCCTTTTTTTCCCCCCTAAACTGTCCACAAACAGACACCCCAGCTGCTTGCAATGACCAAATCTGTAACTATGAGGTTAGGGAAATTTTTACATACTGTTAAAGAAAGACATTCTAAATTATTTGTGGCTATTCCCCAAATATTTATTAGTGAAATATGGGGCCATAAATCACCAGCCAGATAATTCTAGTTGAATATTGGGAAGATCAGCACTGCTACAGAGACAGAATCACATATACTGAAGGTCATTTTGGAATTAGTACTTTGTACAATTATGGAATAAACATAAGGGTATAGAATTAGAAAACTATATATTTAACTCTATCACAAATTATTTTTCAAGGATCCCTTAACACTGTCATCTATATAACCAGAAAAAAAAAAAAACCATAAATAAACAAAACAAAAAGAATCCCAAAATAAAAATAGTCTGGGCATTAAGAATATCTACAAAAATAGATTCTTATTTTTATTATAACTGTTCAAAATAGCTACTATAGCCATATTCACCCTCTTTACATTAAAGATTTTTTGAAGAGAGAGTCAATATTCAGTATTTACCCAATTCCAGATATTTGACAAAATATAGGGTAAATTCAGAATATTACCTTGACGGGGATTGCAGACAGATATCTTCCAGTTCTGCCTCCTGGAAACCCTTTTCAAATGCATCACAGTCTTTCAACATGTTGGAAAGTGAATTCCTAATCTCCCCACAGGGGCTCCTCCCCAGTCTTCCCAGTCTCATAGATGGTATCCTAACACATTCAATTGCTCCATTAGAAAACTGGGCCTTATCCTTGGACATAGTCCCCATCAAGATCAATAAGTGGCATCAATTATATCTCTGAGGGATGCCTGGGTGGCTCAGTCAGTTAAGCATCTGCGTTTGGCTCAGGTCATGATCCCGGGGTCTTGGGATTGAGTCCTACATAGGGCTCTTTGCTCAGCAAGGAAGCTGCTTCTCCCTCTGCCTGCAGCTCCCCCTGCTTGTGCTCTTTCGCTCTCTCTCTCTGACAAATAAATAAGATTTAGTTGGACATTTAGCTGGACTCCATCCATTTTTCTTGACCTTCTGCAAGTAACCCCTAACAGATCTCTGCTCCCACTCATGCCCTTTCAATGCATTTTCTTCACAGCAACCAAATGATCTTCTGAAAATGACTATTTTGATCATGTCACTCCCATGCTGAAAATTCTGCAGTAACTTCTTGCTGCTTTATCTTGAAATAAAATAACATATCTTTAAATGTGGTCAACGAGCCTTTGGGTGATCGGGTACCACTTACCGTGACAGTATCATTTCATGACATTCACTATCCTCTCATCAAACACCAGTCACAGTGGACTTCCTTATCTAGATATTTTCTACTTTAGGGCCTTCATACACACATGCTTTTACTTCTGTCTGGATGCTCTTCTCTACCCTTTATCTAGCTTACTTCTATTTTTCTTTTTCTTTCAAGGTTTAGCTTAAGTGGCACTTCCTTAAAGAAGTCTTCTTTGACCCTCTATTTGATTGGCCACTTTATAATCTTTTATGCTCATTCTAGCTAGCATGTTTCCCAATATACGTCATGGGTATTTTCTACATTAGGCTAATATCTCCTTGAGCAAGAACTATTTCTACTTTTACCATGAATCTCCATTGTCAGCCTCTGTGCCAGGAACATAATAAATACTTAATATTCCTTGAATCATTGAAGGACTAAATTGATGAAGACATCCAGTTAGCTCTGTATTGCACGCGCATAATCGAGGTTAGTTAGCCCAGTTGGCTAGAGAGTTGATGGACTATAGAGAATGCCCACATCCTCAACAAAGGGTCCATAAGGACCTGTGAGCATATGCTAAAATTTTAAATATTCTGGAGCATTTTGGCTTTCCTGGTCAAGATGAATCATGACACATATTCCATCACAGAGCTGATTTCATTTTGCCTTGCATTAAAGTTAGTTGACTTTATGTCTTTCTTGCCCATGAGAACTTTCTGATTCTTCCATCAGAATCACATCTGAATTATCTTTATCCCCCCGGGTGCATGACAGTTTCCACAGTAGGAGCTAAACATTGGTAGAAATTTATTTAATTTTTTAAAAGACTTTATTTATTTACTTATTTGTTTGTTTGTTTGTTTTCCAGAGAAAGACAAAGCAAGAGAGCACAAGCAGGGGGAGCTGCAGGCAGAGGGAGAAGCACGCTCCCCGCTGAGCAAAGAGCCTTATGTGGGACTTGATTCCAGGACTCCGGGATCATGACCTGAGCTGAAGGCAGATACTTACCTGATTGAGCCACCCAGGCATCCCAAGAAATTTATTTTAAATATCTTGCCATTCAAAAACTATGAATTAAGAGGTGCTAAGTAAAGTTAATATTGTAAGGTACCGTCATATTTAGTGCAGAATCTAATTTAATTATTCAACTTACTAATTCAGCACTTCCCATGTTTAAGACACTGGGAAATGCATTAGGAATTTAAACAATAACTAACACCTTTTCTTTCCTTGTGTGTCAATAAACTTATGGAAAAACAAATCCCCATCAGTGACCTTTGGATGGTGACAGTATAAAAATGTATGATTGACTCAATGTAATCCCAACAGGACTAACAGGCCCACATCCCTCTTTAGGGATATGGCAGTTCCCTGCTTCCTGGAAGGTGGGGTTAAGTTCTAATAATGTCCTAGTTCTTCATGCTTCAGTAAACCAACGCTATCAGTCGTCTGCCATGTACTTTTGGGTTACTGCCAGGGTTTTCTTGTTGGATTACACTCACCTGTCCCCACTTCCCCCTTTTTATGTCCTATGGCAATTCCTGTCCTACCCTCTGCTAAAGAAGACAACAGTTCAGACTGAAATAAACCAGCCAGACGGGACCCTGGCATCAAAGATCCCCCAAAACTGTTCCTGCTAAAATTAAGGAGTTTTGGCTATGGATTCACAAGAACCTTGAAGTGCTCTGTTGAGCAGCTAGAGGTCAGCGAGCTAGCTAGTGACTCAGCTAGCAGGAGGTCTGCTAATAGATGCTAATGCTTTGCTGAGTGCTTCAAACTGGTGTTCGCTTTAGGGTGGTGCTGAATAATCACCATTAATTGAACTGTAGAAATACCTGCTTGCTATTTGTAAATAGCATATATTTTTCATAGAAATCGTGTGATGCTCAAATTGTTTATCTTTAGATCACCTTGCAAATAGGGTTTTAGTAAATGTGAAAAGGTTAGAAAGTCCTTCCTTTCATACTACCAGACATTGTGGTATGCAAATGCTTTACTTCTTTTTTTTTTCTCCAGATTTAATTATGTGATTTTAATCCATTTGAATTTAGCTCACGGGGCATCTTTGTATAGATTCATTACATAACCAAGCAATTGTAGCAAAGTTTGAAGCTATTTGTAGTAAAACGTACTACAAATAACATGTACATACAGGTAATACTCGTTTGGGAGTCAATTAGGGCCAGCCACTGTTCTAATTAGTTTAGTGAATTGGCTCATCTAATCCTCACATTTCTAGGGGCAACTACTATTATTATCTGCATTTTTAGATGAGAAAATTAAGGCTCACAGAGGTTAAGCAATTTGCTCAAGGTCAAATGGCTAGTATGCTGCAGAGGTAGCACTTCAGCTCTGGAGGCTACACTTTTAACCAGCAAGATTTAGTTAAATGTTTAATTTTCATAAACCCTGTGGGACAGATACTGCCATTATGATCCCCATTTAATAATGAGGGGATTGGTCCAACCAATATCACTCTGCTGGTAAGTGGCTGAATCAGGCTTTTAAACTCAGTCCTGTCTGACTCCTGGGTCTGAGGTCTTAAATATCAGCCACTACAGCCTTCTACAGAAGGCAGTGTACTTACTTCCTTTTTAATCCCATCTAGCATTAGAGATTAAGTAGATTTTAAGGGAAAGAGAAATGATTTACTCAAATAATACAGTAACTATCTGGTCATAATCTTCTAAAAATATTTGAAAAACTGTTAAGCCAATTATTGGATTTTTCTTAAAATATTTGAAATACTTTTAAGCTAATATTAAATGTCATCATTCTGAAGAGTACAGCCCAAATGACTGTCCTTAAAAATTAGTGTAATAATTCATCTCACTGTTCGTGTGACTCCCCAGAGTAACTGCAATTACTCAAGAGATCTGTGAGCATTTAGGGGTGCCTGGGTGGCTCAGTGCGTTAAGTCTCTGCCTTTAGCTCAGGTTATGATCTCTGGGTCCTGGGATTGAGCCGCATAAGGGGCTCTCTGCTCAGCAGGGAGCCTGCTTCCCCTTCCCTCCTCGCCTGCCTCTCTGTCTACTTGTGGTCTCTCTCCCTTTGTCAAATAAATAAATAAAATCTTTAAAAAAAAAAAAAAGAGAGAGAGATTTGCATTTAGAAAAAATAAAATTTAGAAAAAATAAATTTTTTCTATTCTATTTTTTCTATTTTGACTATAGCAAATATAAAATATTATGTGGTACTTGTTGGGTGTAACACATGAAAGTATTACAAATCAAAACAAATCACAACAGTATTATAAAAACATACAATAACTGTTATTTTGAAATAGACTAGTTTAATTATTATCATTCATATTACTATTTTACTAGATGAGGAGTCACCATTTAGATCTTAAAAATGAGAAGGAATGTATGTGCCAGCCAAGTCACAATGATACAGTAAAATTAAAAATTTATAGAAAATGCCAATGGTTTATAAAAACACTGCTTAGAAGGACATTCCTGTATAAATCTGTCCTTTTCTTTCTGTGAGTTCCTATTTAGAGTATTGATTTCCTTGACCTCTGTAAAACCACTACTGCACCATTTCGGATCTCTAGGTGAGGACTGAATGGCAGAAACTAAGAGAAGAGAGTACGCTGTCGGTGGATTATGGCATATCCATTTTGGCCAAATGGTTTGTCACAGGTGTCTCGTGAGTCATTTATGGTTTTATTACCTTTAGGTCCTTTGAACAGTTTGATCTCCACAACAGTCTCCAGAATGGGTCGTCTTCTGCGCACATACAGGCGAACGATAGACCCCGCTTCTTTGAGAGCTTCCACGGCTTTACTGTGGGAAACCTCTGACACGTCGACCTCATTCACCCGCAAGATACAATCATTGACCCTGGAAGACAGGGAAAGAAGAAAAAGTGAGGGTGGCTGGGAAGATTTCTTAAAGTATATTATCATTGTTAGTGAACCTGAAGAAGTGAGGAAGCAAACAGTACAAGCAATTTTAAAATGTTTCTATTTGGAAGAAGCAATTCAAACGAAAGAAACCTTGAACTCCCCAGCCTTCCCAGGCTTTCCAAATGGACTTGCACTACCAGTCAGGCCCCTCTTGCACTTAGGTTCCCTGGGATAGGAAGCCTGTGGTACACGCTGTGAGTTCGGAGGACTGCACATTTTGAGGCCGCTGTCAGTTACATCATTTTTTTTTTAAAGGTTTTATTTATTTATTTGTCAGAGAGAGAGAGAAAACACAACCAGAGGGCATGGGAGGCAGAGGGAGAAGCAGGTTCCCTGCTGAGCAGGAAGCCCGATGTGGGACTTGATCCTAGGACCCTAGGATCATGACCTGAGCCCAAGGCAGCCACTCAACTGACTGAGCCACCTACGCATCTCATATTTCAATTGTTTCTAACTGGTTTGACTGAGGGTTATGATTGCAGTGGTTCTCAGAACTTACTATGGATTATACAGACATCACAAATGTAACCTTATAGTTGAATTTTCTTAAATTTTTAATTTGCTACTTATAAAGGTAATATATGGTCATTTTAGAAAATCTGAAAAATGTAACCATGCAGAAAGAAGAAAAAGTATACATGACCTAATCATCTAAAATAAATGTGTTAGCTTTCTGGTAAACTGTCTTCCCGTATTTTGTTTTGTTTTGTTTTCCCTTTCCCCCTCAAATTCATATCACAATACTACAGATATTGACGTTCAGATTTCACAAAATTCAAAGAAAATTTCAGGTAATCTTTGGCTTAGGTATTTACTTTGAAAACCAAGAATTATGGTAACATAATTTTTGACATTTTCTCTTCAGGAGGGATCATCTGACTTTTCTATAAAACTGTCCAGGTAATATATATTTATGTAGCCATAGACTTCAAATCTCTTTTATGTTCATGATAATTAGTAAAAACTTTAATAATAGTTAAATGTATGAAACTTGAGACTAGAAAGATTTCCTTCCTTTACTTTGAATATGCACTCTAATATTGCCCATCTCAGTTTAGTATGTTGCTCAGAGTAAGAAATAAGGGGCTACCCTTGCTTGACTTCCTCATCCCACTACCACATGTTTGTCTCTACCTGCAGTCTATCCGCAATCTGTCCACATTTCTTAATCTGCACTGCTACCATCCTGGTTGACGTCAACGTCCTCTCCCACCTGGATTATTTCTACAGCCTTCTACCTACTCCCCCTGGACCCTCTCTTGTCAACGTTTAATTCATTTTCCACACAGTGGACAGGGTAAAGTGGACATGATTGGTTGCTTTTTCATCTTCCATTCCCCATTTCCTTCTTCCCAATAGTGCCTGATTTGCTCAGGACAATCACTCCTTACAATGAATGAAATAATAAGTCTAAGTTCAATGACCAGGCCTTCCATTTCCTAAGTTGGTAAACACTGATAACTAGCTTCTTAGCCTCTGTGTTCACATCTATAAATAGATACAATACTAACATCAACAATAAAGACTTATGGGGAAGATTAAATGAGATAATGTACATGTAAATCTTTAGCAAGGAGTCTGGTATGTATTAAGCACCTAATAAGTGGTAGCAGTGAACAATTTTTGATTTATAATTTTAACTATTAGATCCTTTCCATAATCTTGTGAATAAGTCATTATCCACATTACAGAAATGAGAATTGTTTCAAGTGATCAAGTTCTTTGTCTAAAGCTGTCAGAAATTTGGGTAGAAATTGGATATGATCTTCCAGTCATATTATTTCCAATCATATATCCAATTGGATAGGTCTTAAAATTTCCAAAGTTGGGCACTCTCCTCTTAGAGATCACATACATCTAAATGTTGCAAACAGTTTCACATACATGTACACATCAATTCAAACTTATAATACGGTAGTGAAAATATTATACAAAAAGTATAGGAAGAATTTTTCTATCATTTTTTCCCCCATAACTTCTCTATACTAAGTTTGGGGAGCTTAGTTATAGACACTCTTGTCTCAATGAGAACCCTGATTAGGTTCAAGTTTCTGAATTTCTGAATTTCACATATTAAGATTCAATGATGTCATTTCATCATAACACATGCTATGGCTTTATTAGGTTTACACATACACTTCCTCTCTGAATGACCAAAGGAAAAAAAAATGGAAAATTACCAATTAAAATAGTTTTGAAAATGTAGGCAACACGGGTGCCAGCCGCCCTGCAGCAGCTGGTCCTTTGAGAGTGGGTAATTTTGTCATCTCATGATAATGCAAACACATAGTGTTTACTGTCGCCCTATGCTCAGAATATTAATCATATCTTAAAACACTGCTTTCCATCGAAGGGAGTGGCTGACATTTAAAAAAAAATTCTGGATGCTGTATCTAGTCAAACTGTACTAAATTTTTCCTTTTGTATACAGTGGAATCCTTAATTGTCAATTGCAGGGGTGAGGACATCACAGCCTAAATCATGTTTTTTTCCTGAACATGTGGAGGAAATAGGCAACTTCAGCGCAGTGAAAAGAGCACTGGAATAGCCTTCAGGACACTTGGACTGGAGTCCCAGCTGCGTGACCACGGTCAAGTCACTTTATCTCTTTGAACCTCACTCCCCCATGAAAAGAGAGTAAGTGTGCCCAGAGTTCATGAGAGGAGTAAGCAGACAGGCAATGCATCTGGGTGTGTGTGTGTGGACTATAGAGTACAGTACATACGAGAGCTGTAGCTATTGATCAAAGATGAGTCAAAGATGCTGTGCTCAAGGACGAACTGGAAGGTGGACAGGATGGAAATGGAAAATTTAAGAGGGCTGGCTATGTGCCGTATCAGTCTAGCCACTTCATTTATTCACTGGTGCTTAACCCCCACCCCCCACCATTTCTGAAACACTGATTCTCATTCTACAGATGATGAAATTTACTGACAAGGTCACAGGGGTGTTGAGGGCAGGGACATGATTCCAGCCTGACTTGGCCTTTTTCTAAAGCCTATGCTGATACAGAGTTCCTCAGAACGGATCATTTTAAATTAAAAAAAAAAAAAGAAAGGGAGAGAGGGAGAGAGATGAGGGGCAGAGTTTATATATTCTAATTCTCAAATATAGAGGAAAGAATATCAAGCTGAAGTAGGGCACTCACTTGAAATAGCATCTGGCTAGAGGGTCATAGTTATTTTCTTAGTTATTTAAAATTAATTTGCTTTCACTACTAGTAGATAACCTTTGTGAGTAAAGTCACCACCACATTCATTTTGAAACATATAAATATATCACCAGCTTCTGACTCAAGTAATACTATGTCCCAATAAAAAGTACAGCCTTTATCACATTCTTGATATGTATTAGAAATTCATTTATATAAACATCTCCTCCTCTAGCCATGCAACTAAGTTGATGGTTTCATTTTCCGGTGCTTGCTGTTTCAAATATAAGTCTACAATATTCATTTTGTGAAATGGAACTATCCAAGAGATTAAAAGCCTAATTTAAATCTTTTTCTTGTCTCATTGTCTTCAGAATTCTGTTTTTTTCCTTACAGAAAATGTCTCAGAAATAAAAAGGACATTTTATCATTAACATGTCAACAGAATCACACCTAAATTTTGCATTAAACAAGTAAGTATTATGGAACATGATATAGTATCACTGAAAAGTCAAATAATACCTGACAAATTATTTGTTCCACTTTGAAGACACAATTTAAAAGAACAAGTAATATATACTCTTGCATAGGTATTAAAGTATTTTCTGTTGGAAAATAAATTTTGTGATTTTCTACATTTTTTAAAGCGTTGATTCACTATAAATGAGCACCAAATGCTGGTGTTACAACGGAAACATTCCTGTTCATTATGCATTTAAAATAACTGAAAGGAAAGATAACAAAGTTTCAGCTCTAGTTCTTTGTTGACACAGAGATTGCAGGTGTTTTAAAAAGCATATTTTTGCTTTTGGGTTTCATGCCAGGTCCTAAAATGGGAATATATCAGAGCCGAGAATCTAAGAACGTAGGCCTGGGAGCCCTGGCACAGCCCCATCCACATGGAATGTTGGCCCCCCTCTAGAACTTAAGAGCAGTGTGGCTTGGGATAAGTCACATGACATCCCACAGTCTCAGTTTCTTCATCTGGAAACAGGGAAAAGATTGCTGCATGGATCAGATGGGATAATGTATGTGAAGTCCTCAGTATAGCGCCAGACAATGGTAAAACATTGTAGTTATGAAAAAGGGGTAAGTGATTTGCTTAAGAAAGATAAGAAGTAACTATAGAAAGAAGATACAGTAAGGAGACAAAGGAAGAGCGCTACAATCAGAATACTGAAAGGGTTTCTGACATCTTCCATGAGAAAGAGAGGAAGAAATGAGATAAATGGGGTTTGGAGGAAGAAAAATGTAAAAAGAGGGCTTTCAGTAGGTCTTATTTGATGACGAGTAATATAATTCCCCTTTAATTTTACCCTCTGCTGCAGAGCAGGGAGACTGATTTGGAACTAGATCCCAGGACCTGGGGATCATGATTCGAGTTGAAGGCAGATGCTTAACTGACTGAGCCACCCAAATGCCCAAACAACAAAAATTTCTAACAAATATAGACAGACTTTGTGATCAGTGCTTAATTGATCACATGCATTATTTCCTTTAGCTTTATCCTATTTTCTTTTTAATACTTAAGTTCGTCTTGTCTTCTGGGAAGTCATCCTCACCTCAACTGCCTTGTCCCATGTCCCACTGCAAGGAAGTCAGTGGGTAATATTAATAGGGTTAGCAGATTTAGCAAATAAAAAGTTTAAAATATCAAGCTAAATTTGGCTTTCAAATAAAACACTAATAATAGGGGTGCCTGGGTGGCTTGGTCAGTTAAGCATCTGCCTTTGGTTCAGGTCATGATCCCAGGGTCCTCAGATCGAGTCCCACATCAGGCTCCT